CACAAGGGTTCCTTGAGGAGTGTTGTATTAAGACTTTAAGTCTTCCAATCCATGAACATAGGATTTACTAAGTATTTTATTCCTTTTGGTGCTATTATAAATGGAATTCTTTTCTCAATTTCATTTTAGTTGTTTTTTGTTAGTATATAGAAATGAAATTTACTTTTGTAATATTGACATTTCTGAACTCCTTGGTTAGTTCTAATAGATTTTAAATGAATCCCTTAGTATTTTCTGTATACAAGATCATGTCATTTGAGAATTTTTGTTTGCTGTTAAGTGTCATCATAGCAACTCTGCCTAGGATTTTCAAGGAGCAGCTGGTGGGTTTGAACTTCCAACTTTGTTGCTAGCAGTCCAGTTCTTACTCTATAGCGTGACACCAGGACCCCATCTGAGAATAGAGATTACTTTATTTCATCCATTCCAGTATGGATACCCTTTTATTTCCCTTTATTATCTAATTCCCCAGGCTAGAACCTCCAATACAGTGTAGCACAGAAGTAACTGTGTTGCCCTTTTTATGAAATGGTGATAAGATACCAAAATATTTTTGTATTCCTTAATATTGGAGTATAGTGACTTCATGAAATTATTATTGTAGGACAGTATTTCTGTTTGGTTTAGAAAAATATGTAACAATATTTTTGTTTTTCTGTTTTGATTGAAGTACATTTTAACCATTTCCTTTTTGTCTTTCTTTCTTTCAGGTTTTCTCAAACAATGATGAAGGCCTTATTAACAAAAAGTTACCCAAAGAACTTCTGTTAAGGTAAGTGTATCTAAATTCTACATGCAGAGTTCAGATTCGATCAGTCATCATGTTCCAAGAGTATCTTCTTTCTCACTATGAGTCCACAGCATAGAAAAGCAGACAGACGTAGCCTAACTGACTTTTTGTTTTTGTTTTATAGAATGCTGTTCAGCTTGTTGTTAAATTTTACTTGGTCTAATCCAGAATGTACTAAAGTATGCATAGCATTGGTTTGGATTCTTTTTGTAATGTGGTAAGTATTGTAATAATCTTCAGTAGGTGCCATTGTGGTATCAGTAGATAATTGTAACAGTCAGTTATATGAAGGAAGTTTATGGTTAAGGTTGTAAACTCCTGAAGTCATAGACTTTTGGATGTTTTCTGATAAATGGGTTTTTGAATGAGTGCAAACAGTAAGTACAAAATGATAAGTACATTTATGATGTGATCTCATCAAGCACTTAAGCTGCTGTCAGTTCCAAGTATTGATTTTTACTTATTTTTGAGAATTATGTGCTAAGTGGCACACTACTATAAAATAGGCTTTTTATTTTTTATTTCTAGTATCATTTTATACTTGTGTTGTTGTCGTTAAGTGCCGTCAAGTGGATTCCGACCCATAGCGACCCTGTATAGGGTTTCCAAGGAGCAGGGCCTTCAAAATGTTTGTGGGAAAATTCTATTGTGTTATCATTCCATTTTTCCATGAAATTTTTGAAGCCCCCTCGTACAATAAATGTTACTTTGCATGTCATTTCACTAAATAAAGCTCTCAACTAATTGTTGACCCTGAGGTACTACCATTTTCTTTAGTACTCTGAATGTTGCTACGTTTCAATTGTTTGCAAAAATTAATACACAAATACATGGTGATCTTTGAATGGCATTTCCCAAACTTTTTTCATATTACCAACACCCCCAAAACCACACATAAAAACAGGGTCTGTGATCAAATAAGTGTGGATTAAACATAACCAGTTTTTTTTTTTTACTTTAGGATTTCTCAGAGCTCTAATAGGCTCATGTTCATAGTGATGTCCCAAGAAGGTCATTGTGGCATTTGAAACTCACTGGCCATGAAAGCCTTTTATTTTAATGTATCATGGGAATCTTTCAGGAAATGTTGCTCTAGAATAAGGGATTAATTCATCAGATTACTCTTTGCTTTGATTTAGCTAAATTTCATTTTTACATTTGGGGAATCACTGAGTTTTTAAGTGTTGTCTTATCAAGCACAGTAAACTGTTAGAACCTGTATTGCTGAGTTAGGGTCTTATCAAGCACAGTAAACTGTTAGAACCTGTATTGCTGAGTTAGGGTCACTACAATAGCAGTGAGTCTGGTGTCCATAGAATTGTGCAGTTCTCCAGTCCAGTCAGAATATTGTTGCAGCAGATGTGAAACTGTAATATGAATATGACACTCTTACTCTGGGAAATCATAGCTAGCATCAAGCTAACCCATATTAGTCATTCAACACTGGGATGTGATTACACTTCACCCTCTGCATGATTGCTCTGCTATCTGACTCACAGATGTTAATTATGTTTCACTTCTGAGAGAGTAGTTTTTGCTCTTCACTCAGCCATGGAATAGTTTGCATCTGTTGGGTTATAAAAGAGGAGGGTAGTCTAGGCCATATAAAAAAATAAAGACCTGTAAAGAATTAAGGATTTATGTTAATTTTTATGTAGTGTGATCTCTGAAGTGAAGACTTAGATATAATTTTAGTTATTTTAAAGATGCATGATGAGCCCAACTGTTAAGAATCCTGGAGTCTGATCTCAGTGTATATAGCTTTTGTATCACACCATAAGGCTCATATATCAGTCATTTTTTTCACAAAAGAATTGCTATTTGAGAACTACTGTCTACAACATGCCTTTCCATAGGTTTGCATCACACTCTGTTCTGCTTTTAGAGTTTGTAAAGGGAATTTAAAAGGAGACTGTTAGCATAGTGGGTTATAAGTTGGGCTACTAACTGCAAGGTCAGCAGTTCAAATCTACCAGCTGCTCCACGAGAGAAAGGTAAGACTTTCTGCTCCTGGAGTAAGCCTTGGAAAGCCTAGACCAGGGTTCCTGTGAATTGGAACCAACTTGATAGCATACACCTACCAAGGGGGATTGAAAATACTGCTGCTAACAGTCTGTGAGTTATGAATCTCAAAATTAACTCTAGCTAGCAATGATATTTTTGTTCATTTACTTATTTAATTTTTAATGGACTTTAAATCATTTTACTCTGAGACTTTTCTATTTTCAGTAACAGTAGCTCTCCCATTCCCTACCTGTATCCTTTCTAAGCAAAACTTTGTAAAAGAATTTGAACCAGGTTATCAGAGAGACTGTCTTTATCGTATTGGTTACGAATTGGGCTGCGAACCTTAAGGTCAGCGGTTCGAAACTACCAGCTGCTCTGCGGGAGAAAGATGAGGCTTTCTACTCCCGTAAAGATTTACACCCTCGGAAACCCTGTACAGGGTCGCTATGGGTCGGAACCGACTCAATGGCACTTAACAACAACAACAACAGTGGAACAAAGACTCCACCATCATGCAATTTATGTTGTGATTATTTTATGCTCAGTTAAGTAATGTCTTCTTTTTTTGGTCTTCCCTAGGCTTACCCTTTTTACTTCATATTGTATACTTTGTGTCAATGAAGATTACTGCACATATTCTTGAATTTGTCTTCACCTTTAGTCTTAACTTCATCAGTAGATTGTAGGTTCTTTGACTTCATGATTATCTTATTTGCTTGCAGCTAAGATGATTTTCTCTTCTACCATTTTTCAATTAATCTGTTATCAGTCTCTTAAATTCTCACTAGTTTCCATTAACCAGTCTACCAGAACCTGTAGCTTCTCCTTTGAAACCTTTAACAAGTATAATCTAAAATAATGTGCATGCTTCCTTTCATCTCTTTGTGTCACTTTGATTCCACTCAGAAAAGTCTGTTAGTTTCCTTTTCATCTGATCTTCTTAATTGCTAATTTTAAGAATACTCAATGCTATTGATTCACATTCCTTCCATCATCTATCCTTAGTTTGTTACTAAACGTTTTACAGTTTTTCATTTTCTATACAACTTTCACTCATAAATTAAAGATAGCCGTGTTCCTTCCTCTCTGCTTCCATATAACTCAACAACCAGTTTGTAATTTTATGCTTTTTGAGGACTCAGTTATATAATGCTAGTAACAGTGGGAATGTTTAATTTGTTGTAACCTGTAATGGATTGGTTTGTCCTTATCCGCATCATTATTGTCTTTACAACTTTTGGAGCCAAATTTTCTGGGATGACATTTCTGCTCTCCCCATATATTAGTTGTGTGAACTTAATTATTTTGTGGTACTTGACTTTGTCACCTGTCAAATGGTAATAATAGTTTTTACTCTGTGGGGTAGTTGCTATCTTCTTAGAGTACTTGGCTCCTTAATGTTAACCCTTACTGCTATAAACTGATAGCAGTTTTGAAGCCTGAATTCTTAATAAATGGTACTGTTGCTGCAGTCAGTTTTAATGCAGCAACTGATAATGCAAACTGTGCTGGTATGGACCTTATTGTATGTCATTGCTAAAAATAGCTCAGTAAAGAACCCAATTTTTAAGCAGCTATCCAATTTTTAAGCCCCATATTTCATTTAATCAAAATCGACCAGTTCCGTCTCCATGGAAATTGAATAGTATGATTTTCTGTTACAGTAACAGCTACTAGGGTTTGATCAACCATCAACACTCATGGAAGTAGCAGTCAAGAACTCAACGTATTGCATTAGGCAAATCTGCTATACAAGACCTTCCCCCCCCCCTTTTCAAGAAAACCTTTTTTTATTAACCATTTATATTTGTTCCATACAATATTTGTCCTTTTATGAGTGACAAATTTCACTCAATATGTCCTCCAGTTACAACCATGTTGTGAGGTGTTTCGCAGATTCATCATTATTCTTCAATATTTTTGTAGTATTCCATTGTTTGTCTAATCATTCTTTCTGATATGTCTCCTGTAGACAGCATACTGCAGCATCCTATTTTCTCACCCATTCTGCTCTCTATGTCTCTTGATTGGTACATTTAAATTCAGTGTAATTATCAACAGGGATGAATTGATTATTGTCATTATTCTGTGTGATGCTGTTGGGTTCTTTGTTCCACATAATTTTCTATGCTGAGTTCGTTTTGTTGTGGGTTTTCTTTTCATTTTCATTTCTGTTGTGTTAATGTTTATAAAATCTTTCTGATTTTCATCTTTTTTTTTTATTTTGATGTGCAGGTGTATTATTATTCTCTGAGGTTGACCTGTAATTTCTTTTTTCCCTGCTTAAAACAGCCTGTTTTATCTTGAAATCAACTTCCTTGGCATTTGGAAGTTCTGTATCTACACAATTCCCTCTTTTTGCTTTGTAGTTGATTTCATTATAAATTGATGTCTCCGGTTCCCTATTTTCAGTCTTGTAGGTTTGTTTTACTTTAAATACTTCTGTATCTGGATTGAGTTCTAGGTGGTGTTGTCATGTATGGTGATCACAGGTTGTTGTGCTGTTGTTGTTGGTTCTAAGTCCAAAGAGCATTCCTTAGTGGTCTGGTCATTATAAATTCCTTTCATTTCTGCCCTAATTTCGCTGTCATATTTGAGGGACAGCTTCACTGGGTATGTGATTCTTGGCTAGCAATTTGTTTTTTCATTCAGAGTTTTGTATATGTCTTCCCATTGTATATGCTTTCTTGTCTACATTGTTTCTGCTGAAAAATTAGAGAATGGTCTTTTTTTTTTTCCCTGATTTATTTATTTATTTAAGGTTTTTATTTTGGATTGAGTGAAAGTTTACAGGGCACATCATCAGTTTTACATTCAAAAAAATCATATACCTTCTTTCATTACAATGGTTATAATCCCCTCCATGTACTATCAGTTAACAGTATTTCTCTCTATCCACTTTAGCTTTTTAAAAAACAAAACAAAACAAAACAAAACAAAACACTCAGGCATATATAATAATTTACATCTCCAAA